ATTGAGCACAATTTTGCAAAGAAATACCCCACTTGTTTCTCGAGAAGAGATGGGAAACATGCTCAATATCATTGGATTGCATAGTTGCCCCAGCTCCTTGTTGTTTGAAGAAACTCTCCCCCTGAATTGGTCTTTTTTCACGAAAAGCAGACATGAGATAACAAATCAAGTCTTTCCCTAAGATTTCGAATAGCTGTCCCGAATTCAAGTTGATTATGTTTCGTTTCTTCCTCGGAGAAAGACGATCAAACAATTCCCAATCATGGTCCTTGCGGATCGGATCATCCGTATAGGATAAAAAAAGAAACTCCAGATATTTGCTATCTTTCTCTTTGAATGAGATCTCAATTCCAGCTACGGTTTCATTAGATATCTGACAACTAGAATCCCTCTTTTTTCCGATCCGGTTCCTCCACCACCGCGAACCCCGGTTAGATTCAGGCATGATACGCTTTTTCTTTCTTGGGAGAACCCAAGTACTCTCTTGCGGATCCATGAAACAACTCTCAGAAATCTTTTTCCTTTTTGGAAGATACAGGAGCGAAACAATCAACCTATTTCTATTGGAAGACCAAAAAGATTCTTCCAATGTCTCCTTTCTGGGTCCAATGGAATTCATAGGTATAGGAAGAAGCCCCATCAAATAGAGATTTTTTCTTTCAACCATCTCTCGATTGTTAATACGAGATATAAGGACCACTACTACAAGCAGTACTACACCTTTGATCGTGAAATATCGATTGCTTGTTGCACCCTGTGAATCACGTGAAAGTAGGATACTCCAAATTCGGGGGTCAAAGAGTTTCATAAAACGTTCTTGGTGGAAAAAAATGTGAGTGAAAGATCCCACTGAATCGAATTTGATCCATGAATCTAAGAAATAGTGAGAATTCTTGATCTCTCTCAATTCGAATATCCAGGATTTGAATTGATGTCGTTTCATTGATTCCTCCTAAAGATTTCATTTCAATTGGAATTTGGTTATTCACGATGTACGACGATCCCTGTGAAGCATCCATGGCTGAATGGTTAAAGCGCCCAACTCATAATTGGCAAATTCGTAGGTTCAATTCCTGCTGGATGCACGCCAATGGGAACATTCAATAAGTCTATTGGAATTGGCTCTGTATCAATGGAATCTCATCATCCATACATAGCGAATTGGTATGGTATATTCATACCATAACATATGAACAGTAAGAACTAGAATTCTTATCGATACTGGAACTCATAGGGAAGAAAATGGATTTATGGATGGAATCAAATATGCAGTATTTACAGAAAAAAGTATTCGGTTATTGGGGAACAATCAATATACTTCTAATGTCGAATCAGGATCAACTAGGACAGAAATAAAGCATTGGGTCGAACTCTTCTTTGGTGTCAAGGTAATAGCTATGAATAGTCATCGACTCCCGGGAAAGGGTAGAAGGATGGGACATACAATGCATTACAGACGTATGATCATTACGCTTCAACCGGGTTATTCTATCCCACCTCTTATAGAGAAAAGAACTTAAAGCAAAAGACTTAATAACACGGCAATACATTTATACAAAACTTCTACCCCGAGCACACGCAATGGAGCCGTAGACAGTCAAGTGAAATCCAATCCACGAAATAATTTGATCTATGGACAGCATCGTTGTGGTAAAGGTCGTAATGCCAGAGGGATCATTACCGCAGGGCATAGAGGGGGAGGTCATAAGCGTCTATACCGTAAAATCGACTTTCGACGGAATGAAAAAGAGATATCTGGTAGAATCGTAACCATAGAATATGACCCTAATCGAAATGCATACATTTGTCTCATACACTATGGGGATGGTGAGAAGAGATATATTTTACATCCCAGAGGGGCTATAATTGGAGATACCATTGTTTCTGGTACAGAAGTTCCTATATCAATGGGAAATGCCCTACCTTTGAGTGCGGTTTGAACTATTGATTTACGTAATTGGAAGTAACCGATTAGGTTTACGACGAAACCTAGGAATCGATCACTGATCCAATCGGAGTACCTCTACGGGATAGACCTCAACAGAAAACTGTTGAGTAACGGCAGCAAGTGATTGAGTTCAGTAGTTCCTCATAGAAAATTATTGACTCTAGAGATATGGTAATATGGAGAAGACAAAATTGTTTGAAGCGCGCACAGAACCGGAAGCGCCCCTTGTTTCAAAGAGAGGAGGACGGGTTATTCACATTTAATTTGATGGTCAGAGGCGAATTGAAAGCTAAGCAGTGGTAATTAGAAAGACCCCCGGGGAAAAATAGAGATGTCTCCTACGTTACCCGTAATATGTGGAAGTATCGACGTAATTTCATAGAGTCATCCGGTCTGAATGCTACATGAAGAACATAAGCCAGATGACGGAACGGGGAGACCTAGGATGTAGAAGATCATAACATGAGTGATTCGGCAGATTTGGATTCCTATATATCCACTCATGTGGTACTTCATCATACGATTCATATAAGATCCATCTGTCTAGATATCATCATATACATCTAGAAAGCCGTATGCTTTGGAAGAAGCTTGTACGGTTTGGGAAGGGGTTTTGATTGAGAAAAAAGAAGAATCTACTTCAACCGATATGCCCTTAGGCACGGCCATACATAACATAGAAATCACACTTGGAAAGGGTGGACAATTAGCTAGAGCAGCAGGCGCTGTAGCGAAACTGATTGCAAAAGAGGGTAAATCGGCCACATTAAGATTACCATCTGGGGAGGTCCGTTTGATATCCAAAAACTGCTTAGCAACAGTCGGACAAGTGGGTAATGTTGGGGTGAACCAAAAAAGTTTGGGTAGAGCCGGATCTAAGTGTTGGCTAGGTAAGCGTCCTGTAGTAAGAGGAGTAGTTATGAACCCTGTAGACCATCCCCATGGGGGCGGTGAAGGGAGAGCCCCAATTGGTAGAAAAAAACCCACAACCCCTTGGGGTTATCCTGCGCTTGGAAGAAGAAGTAGGAAAAGGAACAAATATAGTGATAGTTTTATTCTTCGTCGCCGTAAATAGAAACATTGAAAATTGAATCTTTGGAATTGGAAATCATGTGATGGGCGAACGACGGGAATTGAACCCGCGCATGGTGGATTCACAATCCACTGCCTTGATCCACTTGGCTACATCCGCCCCTTCCCTTATCTAGCTAAAGGATTTTCTCTTTTTTCCATTCATCATTATACTTCAGATTAAGATCGAGATATTGGACATAGAATGCCAATTTAAAAAATGGAAAAAAAGGAGTAATCAGCCGTGACACGTTCACTAAAAAAAAATCCTTTTGTAGCTAATCATTTAGCGGGAAGAATTGAAAAACTCAACAGGAGGGAGGAGAAAGAAATCATAGTGACTTGGTCTCGGGCATCTACCATTATACCCACAATGATTGGCCATACAATCGCTATTCATAATGGAAAGGAACATTTACCTATTTATATCACAGATCGTATGGTCGGTCACAAATTGGGAGAATTCGCACCTACTCTAACTTTCGTGAGACACGCGAGAAACGATAATAAATCTCGTCGTTAGTCGTTCTACTAAGTATTCATGTGAAAAGCCTTATCTTAATAGTCTTTCTAATAGTCTTTCTAATAGTATTTAGACTTAAGAGTCTTTATCTTATAGTAAGAGTATAGGTATATTTCTTTTTCTAGTATACTAATATACTCACTTTTCTGACTTATCTTATACTATACTTCACCTAGGCACTTATCATTCATTGGCGGGGGAGAACTTTTATGATAAAGAACGAAAATTCGGATAGAGAAGCAAAAGTGTTAGCTCAACATATATGTATGTCTGTTTTCAAAGCACGAAGAGTAATTGATCAGATTCGCGGACGTTCTTATGAAGAAACACTCATGATATTGGAACTAATGCCCTATAGGGCATCTTATCCAATTTTAAAATTAGTTTATTCTGCAGCAGCAAATGCTAGTCATAATATGGGTTTGAATGAAGCTGATTTATTTATTAGTAAAGCTGAAGTCAATAGAGGTGCTATTGTGAAAAAGTTCAGACCCCGGGCTCGAGGGCGTAGTTATCTGATAAAAAAAACCACTTGTCATATAAAGATTTTTTTAAAAGAAAAATCGAAATTTTAGATTCCTATTTAGAAAAAAAATGGATGGAAAAAGAATAGAAAAATATGGGACAAAAAATAAATCCACTTGGTTTCAGACTTGGAACAACTCAAAGCCATCATTCTTTTTGGTTCGCAAAACCAAAGAATTTTTCCAAGGGTCTACAAGAAGATGAAAGAATACGGAATTGTATTAAGGACTATGTAAAAAAAAATAAGAGAATATCCTCAGGTTTCGAAGGAATTGCTTATATAGTAATTCAAAAAAGAATAGATTTGATTCAGGTCATAATCTATATTGGATTTCCCAATTTATTAATAGAAGGACGAACACGGGGAATCGAAGAATTACAGATGAATGTACAAAAAGAATTTCATTCTGTAAACCGGAGACTCAACATTGCTATCACAAGAATTGAAAAGCCTTATGGACAACCTAATATTCTTGCAGAATATATAGCTTTACAATTAAAAAATAGAGTCTCATTTCGAAAGGCAATGAAAAAAGCTATTGAATTAACTGAACAAACGGGTACAAAAGGGATTCAAGTGCAAATTGCAGGGCGTATCGACGGAAAAGAGATTGCACGTGTCGAATGGATCAGAGAAGGCAGGGTTCCCTTACAAACAATTCGCGCTAAAATTGATCACTGTTCCCATACAATTAGAACTATCTATGGAGTCTTAGGCATAAAAATTTGGATATTTGTAAACCAAGAATAAGAAAAGAAAAAAGAAGAAGAATGGACCTTTATTTATTTCGCCATTCTGGTCATCGATAGAAAAAATTTATAAACTCTTTTCTTCTTTTTCTTAATCAAAGAAAAACGAACAATTCTAATTCTATAAGGTTGAATAAAAATTTGATTTACCCTTTATTTAATTTATATTTTAGTATAATTGCTATGCTCAGTGTGTGACTCGTTAGTTTTTTCTTTAGAATTGAGATTGAAAAAAACAGGCTAACCCCACTATAAACTTAGTAACTATCAAAACTAAAGAAACTCAAAACTAATAACCAACTTATTGCTTCGTATTGTCGAGATCCCAAGAAACAGTCACTATATGACTGAATCGATCATATAGTTGTAGCATTGTAGCAACTGAAATTCTTTTCATAAAAAAGAAATCTGATTATGAATTGTGAAAAAAAAAGGGATGTGGAAAAATGGAAGGATGATAGAAAGAGAGAATAAAGATCTCAGTGATATATGATTCCCATATGTATGGTTTATGAAAAATTATCCCATAAAAAAGGCAGTGTTATAAAGCATCAACATCAATATAAAATAAAAATACAAAATATACAATTACAATACAATAGAATAAGAAATATACAAAGAAAAAATAGAAAAAAAATAGAAAGAAGTATAGAAACATATAATAAAATAGAATAATAAAATAGAAGAAATAATAAATAAAATAAAAGAAATTCAAATAAGAATATAAAGAATAGAAAATAGAGAATAATTTAATCGAGCTTCGGGTTAAGAAAAACTGAGGAGATTGACTCGGAAACAAATAAGAGATTTTGTTGAGAGCTCCATTGCAGAGTTCAGGCCTAAACATTAATGGAGAAGCTATGGGAACGATGGAACCTGTGACTACATAGGATTTTCTTGAAAACGAATCAATCCTAATGATTCATTGGGTAGGATGGCGAAATGAACCAAGAAAAAATGGATTTCTTCTGAATGGTCATGGATTGATCCTACAAATGAAGGAGGAAAGAGTCAATATTCGCCCGCGAAACCTTTCTTTATTTTTAATTTTTCTTTCATTTAAGGATTTTCTTTATTGGTGTGATTCAATTTCAATAGAGGTAAAGTCAAATACTTTAGAAATCTTGATAAAAGAAAGAAGCATTATATATAAACAAACACACCTAGTTATCTAGTTAGTTATATATAAAGTTACCTATGTAACAAATTCAATATAAAAAAGATTAGTATATTCTTTCTTTTCATTTTGATAGAATGAAATACATAAATACATGTGTATATTTAATATTCTTGAATCATTTCATTCGCGAGGAGCTGGATGAGAAGAAACTCTCATGTCCGGCTCTGCAGTAGAGATGGAATTCAGAAACAACCATCAACTAGAACCCCAAAAGAACCAGATTTCGTAAACAACATAGAGGTAGAATGAAGGGAATATCTTGCCGAGGCAATCATATTTGTTTTGGCAGATATGCTCTTCAGGCACTTGAACCTGCTTGGATCACAGCTAGACAAATAGAAGCAGGGCGAAGAGCAATGACACGATATGCACGTCGTGGTGGAAAGATATGGGTACGTATCTTTCCCGACAAACCTGTTACTGTAAGACCTACAGAAACACGTATGGGTTCGGGCAAGGGATCCCCCGAATATTGGGTATCCGTTGTTAAACCGGGCCGAATACTTTATGAAATGAGTGGAGTATCAGAAACTGTAGCCAAAACTGCTATGGAAATAGCTGCATGCAAAATGCCTATACGAACTCAATTTGTTATTTCAGGATAGGTAAACAAAAGTAAAAGAAGAAGGAAGGAGTATTGAGAATGAAAAAACAACCACAGATTTCTTTATCTCTGGACAGACAATATTTCTTTTTTCCATTATCCCTTGCATTGAAATAAGAGATTCAAATAAAAATGATATGATTCAACCTCAGACCCTTTTGAATGTAGCGGATAACAGTGGAGCTCAAGAATTGATGTGTATTCGAATCATAGGAACCGGTAATCACCGATATGCTCATATTGGCGATGTTATTGTTGCTGTAATCAAAGAAGCAGTGCCCAACATGCCTCTAGAAAGATCAGAAATAATTAGAGCTGTGATTGTACGCACGTGTAAAGAACTCAAACGTGACAACGGCATGATAATACGATATGATGACAATGCAGCGGTTATCATTGATCAAGAGGGAAATCCAAAAGGAACTCGAATTTTTGGTGCGATTGCTCGGGAATTGCGACAGTTGAATTTTACTAAAATAGTTTCATTAGCGCCCGAAGTCTTATAGATGAAGATAGGATATATCCTATCTATTCTATATATAGAAAATAGAATATTCAAATATCTGAAATAGATCCGATTAATAGATTGTGTCTCATGCATATATTTGAGATTTAGAATAATTTTTTAGAATTTAAGAATTTCAAAAAAAAATTCAATAAAAAATAAAACAAAAAAAGAAGCATGTTGATTATATCAAAATGAGGAGGCACCAATAACTATAGTTCGTCATGGGTAGGGACATTATTGCCGATATAATAACTTCTATAAGAAATGCTGACATAGATCAAAAGGGAAGAGTTCAAATAGTATCTACTAATATCACTAAAAACATTGTGAAAATACTTTTACGAGAAGGTTTTATTGAGAACGTTCGAAAACATCAAGAAAGTAAAAAAGATTTCTTGGTTTTAACCTTACGACATAGAAAGACTAGGAAAGGTAATAAAATTATTTTAAAGCGTATAAGCCGACCCGGTCTACGAATCTATTCCAACTATCAACGAATTCCTAAGATTTTAGGTGGAATGGGAATTGTAATTCTTTCTACTTCTCGAGGTATAATGACAGATCGAGAAGCTCGACTAGAAAAAATTGGAGGAGAAATTTTGTGTTATATATGGTGATTCTCCCGGGGTACCCTAATTTTCTCTCGAACTTACTATTTGTAAAATAGAGAGGAGAAGTGAATTATAGAACTCTTCCTCTATTAGTTGATACTTAAAGGGGGTTCCCTGGAATGAAAGAACAAAAATTGATTCATGAGGGTTTAATTACTGAATCACTTCCCAACGGTATGTTCCGAGTTCGGTTAGATAATGAAGATCTAATTCTAGGTTATATTTCAGGGAGAATCCGGCGCAGTTTTATACGTATACTACCCGGAGATAGAGTCAAAATCGAAATGAGTCGTTATGATTCAACCAGGGGACGTATAATTTATAGACTTCGCAAAAAAGATTCGAACGATTAGATCATTCTTTTAAACATCCTTTTTGTAGGGATATAATTCGAAGTTCAAAAATGCAATAAACTGATTCTTGTTTCAAAAAAAAAAATAGATTCAGAATGAAAGTAAGGAATGATAAATATGAAAATAAGGGCTTCTGTTCGTAAAATTTGTGAAAAATGTCGCTTGATTCGTAGGCGGGGGCGAATTATAGTCATTTGTTCCAATCCGAGACATAAACAGAGACAGGGGTAATCCTTCTCAAGTTCTAAATCAAGTACTTTTTCAAACCCATGTACATGTAAAAAGAAAGAAGAAAGGATTCGTTTTCATATGAAATGGATATCCCCGTATCTTTCTGTAGATTTCTGATTCTTCTTTCTTTTTCTTTTATTCTTATGAATATGATCTAATAAAATATGACAAAACCTATAGCAAAAATTGGTTTACGTAAGAATGCACGTATTGGTTCAAATAAGAATGAACGTAGAATACCAAAAGGAGTTATTCATGTTCAAGCGAGTTTCAACAATACTATTGTAACTGTTACAGACGTACGAGGTCGGGTGGTTTCTTGGGCTTCCGCAGGTACTTCTGGATTCAGAGGCACAAGAAAAGGAACACCCTATGCTGCTCAAGCCGCGGCATTTAACGCTATTCGTACATTAGTTGATCAGGGTATGCAACGAGCAGAAGTTATGATAAAAGGTCCAGGTCTCGGAAGAGATGCGGCATTACGAGCCATTCGTAGAAATGGGATGCTATTAAGTTTCGTACGTGATGTAACACCCATGCCGCATAATGGATGTCGCCCCCCTAAAAAAAGACGTGTGTAGAAATAAGAATTCAAGAGATTCCAAGAGAAATAAATGATTCAATGATCTGATCCAATAATCATAAAGAAAAGAAAAATAATAGTATGGTTCGAGAAGAAGTAGCAGGATCCACTCGAACACTACAGTGGAAATGTGTTGAATCAAGAGTAGACAGCAAGCGTCTTTATTATGGTCGTTTTGTTCTGTCCCCGCTTATGAAAGGCCAAGCCTATACTATAGGTATTGCTATGCGAAGGGCTTTACTTGGAGAAATAGAAGGAACATATATCACACGTGCAAAATCTGAAAATGTGCTGCATGAATATTCTACGATAGCGGGTATTGAAGAATCAGTACATGAGATTTTAATAAATTTGAAAGAGATTGTATTGAGAAGTAATCTCTATGGAGTTAGGGACGCATCCATTTGCGTCAGGGGTCCAAAATACATAACAGCTCAAGATATCATCTCACCACCTTCTGTAGAAATAGTTGACACGACACAGCATATAGCTAACCTGACAGAACCAATTGATTTGTGTATTGAATTACAAATCAAGAGAGATCGCGGATATCGTATGAAATCCACAAATGACTCTCACGATGGAAGTTATCCTATAGATATTGTATCTATGCCTGTTCGAAATGCGAATCATAGTATTCATTCTTATGGGAATGGGAATGAAAAACAAGAGATACTCTTTCTAGAAATATGGACGAATGGAAGTTTAACTCCTAAAGAAGCACTTTATGAAGCTTCTCGTAATTTGATTGATTTATTGATTCCTTTTCTACATGCAGAGGAAGAGGACATGAATTTCAAGGAAAATGAAAACAGATGGAATCTACCCCTTTTTTCCTTTCAAGACAGATTCACTAATCTTAAGAAAAACAAAAAAGGAATTCCATTGACATGTATTTTTATTGACCAATCAGAATTGTCTTCCAGGGCCTATAATTGTCTCAAAAGGTCCAATATACATACATTATTGGACCTTTTGAGTCACAGTCAAGAAGATCTTATGAAAATGGAAGATTTTCGCATAGAAGATGTAAAACAGATATTGGGCACTCTACAGAAGCATTTTGCAATCAATTTACCTAAGAAAAAGTTTTCATTTTAAATCCATTGGACTTTTTTTTTCATTTTTTAGTTTTTAGAAATAAAAAAGAATAGAATGAGTTTTGAATCTTCGACACGGTCCATATATTTGCAGAATAGATCATAATAAGATAGATGTATCTAGGGAAGATCCAGAAGGGGATCTTCCTTAGATACCTATGTCATGGTATTTAACGGTTTAATCAATTTGAAAAAGACCTAAAGTTAGGGATTTCTCAATAGGTAAAGTTGCTCCAATACCTAACCAAAGAGCTACTGCGGTACCGATCAAAAAGACTGTTGTAGCTACTGGACGACGAAATGGATTTTGGAATTTATTGACATTCTCCAAAAAAGGTACTGTCAATAATCCTATTGGTACTGAAACCATTAAAAGAACACCCAATAACTTATTGGGTACTGTGCGAAGTATTTGAAATACGGGAAAAAAGTACCATTCGGGTAATATTTCCAACGGAGTTGCAAACGGATCCGCCGGTTCACCGATCATTGACGGCTCTAGAACTGCTAAGCCCACAGTACATGCAATAGTGCCTAAAATTACTACTGGAAAAATATATAAAAGATCATTGGGCCATGCAGGTTCTCCATAATAATTATGTCCCATCCCTTTAGCCAATTTAGCTCTTAATACAGGATCATTCAAATCAGGTTTCTTTGTTATTTGGATAGGTGAATTATTGTAGATCCATCCCCCAAAGGAACCGGACATGATAATTTTTTATCATCCGGCTCGAGCAAGAATCAAAAGAATTACAGAAATAGATCCATAGAACATAAATAGGTCCTAGGTCCATAGAATATCTATATTTCTATATTTCATACATATCTACATATATAATGTAGAATGACTCTATGTAAGAAAAGATTTATCAAATTCCATTTCCCCGAGTTGCAACGATTCATTGTAAAGAATTCAGTTCTGGCAACAAGGAAATGCTCAATATCCAAGTAGGCTTACAAATTCGATCATGATCAAGTGCTTTTTGGATTGTCTCATTCATGTCTTTTGGTTGGTTTTTATCCCCACAACATCTCGATTGTGTTACATACAAAAATACAAAGTTTTTACTTGTTACTAATAAAGTCTAGCCCCTGTGCTTCCTTAGATCCCTTATTTAACTCCGATAGTATCATAGATCAGGGTCGATGCAGAGGAAATGAATGCATCTACATACTATAAAAAACTTACTAAGATTACTATCAAATTCATACGAAATACTAATACTAGCAATTAATTATAAGAAAATTACTAAAAAAAAAAAAGAAAAATTAAACAAAGTGGAATAATATAGAACATTGGATTCCACATCACTTATTCTAGGGATCTTACGGAGCCTGTTCATGCATGACATGATTCGGGTATGATCATAGAAAATATTCTCCTCAAGCGAACCGGCCTATCCTATGCTACATAAAGGGACTTACGTGATGGTTGGATGCGGAGACACATTGGGTTGTGAATTCCAACGTGGCGGATAAAATCATATATCTGCATGGACCAATCAATAGTTCAAGTCACACACTCCCATAATCCATCCTCTTTTAGGAAAATATACTTCAACTATTTGATTCGTATCAAATAAACAATACTTCAGAGTTGAATAGAAGTATCCAAATAACATGCCTTATTTTTCAATAATCCATATTTGTAGCAATGAAAGACTCTTGTTCCTCCCCGATATGATAAATTACAAATATCTATGATCTGCCTTCTCTATAAAGGACCCGAAATACCTTGCTTACGTATCATTGAAAAGTGCATTAACATAAATACGGCAGTAAGAAGAGGCAATACAAAAGTATGTAAACTATAAAAACGAGTCAAAGTGGATTGGCCCACACTAGCACTTCCACGTAATAATTCTACCAAAGGTGATCCTATTATAGGAATAGCTTCAGGCACGCCTGTTACAATTTTTACTGCCCAATAGCCAATTTGGTCCCGAGGTAAGGAATAACCAGTTACGCCAAAAGATGCGGTCAATACAGCCAGAACCACCCCTGTAACCCAAGTTAATTCGCGGGGTTTTTTAAACCCACCCGTAAGATACACACGAAATACGTGCAAGATCATCATTAGAACCATCATACTTGCTGACCATCGATGAACTGATCGAATTAACCAACCAAAGTTGGCCTCAGTCATTATGTATTGAACAGAGGAAAAAGCCTCTGTAACAGTTGGACGATAGTAAAAGGTCATAGCAAAACCCGTAGCTACTTGTACTAAAAAACAAGTAAGTGTAATTCCCCCTAGACAATAAAATATGTTGACATGAGGAGGAACATATTTACTAGTTATATCATCTGCAATCGCTTGAATCTCGAGACGTTCCTCGAACCAATCATATACTTTATTGAGATAGGTAACCCAAGAAAGACTCCCCCTCTGAGAGCCGTATATGAGAATTTCATCTCGTACGGCTCAAGCCGAAACACACAAATACTAGTTTCAACGGATATGGAATAGAGAGTTTAAAACTTCTTGTGGCTTAGCCGCTTGACTCGATTTGACCAAAAGATACGAAGTAAGAAAAATCCGGAATCTCTTCTTTGTGATGATAATGCCAAGAAATACAATCTCAAGTTGGCTCATCCATCTTTCTTTATGTTAATCCTGACAGGCCTCTTGAATCTTCTCTTCCCTATCTTTTTTTTATAGGAATTCTCTTGTTGAGACCCTATGAATCAATTGAAACCTCAGATTCATACTAAAACCACGATGATTTAAGAAAACCAAAGCTAAACTCAAAGGTTTTCTGAGTAAAAACCATTTGATCATCACTTCTTTAATGAATGTAATAACTCAAAAAAATCTAGAGAAAGAGATTTCTTTCGGTCAAAAGAAGTATGAAGGAAAAAATTGTTTGATTTATAAAAGACCTATTTCCATTTTTTTAATCCGGTTGCGAGGTCTGAATAATAGGTATGAATCATAGTTCAAATATTTCTTTTCTTGATCTATTCTATATAGTCCGTGCTCCAGAGACTAGAATAAATATCTGACGAGGTAGAATCATCTTGATAGAGATGACAGGTCCATTCTCTGTATTATCAATAGGATCAATTATAACAAGTCACACGCTCATATTCCGGAAATGAAATATCGAAACAAATAAATTTCACGATCGAACTGCCAGAATGGTCTATAAATCCAAGTCTTAGGTAATCTTAAGTTGAAGTATTAAGTATTTTAAGCATTAAGTAAGTATAAGTAAAATAATCTTTTTTGATTGAAAAACTAAGACTTCATAGTTTTTATGAACTAATTAATTGAAATTCCATCCAGTAAAACAGATGAATTATAAATTTCTAAAATAATAGATAGAAATATTGCAAATAGAGCCATTGCAACTCCCATAAGTGGTGTAGTCCCCCACCCTGGAGCTACTTTTCCATATTCCGAATTCAATGGTTTCAATAAACTCCCTACGCCAGTTCGTCTTGGCCCAGATCTAGAACTACTCTCAACGGTTTTTGTAGCCATAAATCCTCTTTTATCATGGGTTGAAATCTGTTGACTTTGTATACCATTCCGTTGTAGTTGTAAATAAACGACATTATCGTGATCCTTTGTGATCTTGAAATTATCGAAAAAATGGAAACAGCAACCCTAGTCGCCATCTCCATATCCGGTTTACTTGTAAGCTTTACTGGGTATGCCTTATATACCGCTTTTGGGCAACCCTCTCAAAAATTAAGAGATCCCTTCGAAGAACATGGGGACTAGTTGAAGTAATGAGCCCCCAATATTAATAGAGGGGCTCATTATTTCAATGGAAAAAATGAAAAATCATTTCATTTTTTAGTTGGAACTTTAGGTGGTTCTCGAAAAAAGATAGCGAAAAAGATTATCCCTAAAGTCGAAACTAAGAGGAATGTATAAACCAATGCTTCCATAGATTCGATCGTGGTTTACAATTATAGCTTCCACACCTATTCGTTTTGGATCATTTACTAAATAAATTCTAAATTGAGATTTCCAATTTACTATTACTAACTATTACTATCTATATAGTATGTATATATACTATAATATAGATATAGTCATATCTTATTACTATTCTATTAGATTCTATTTCTTCTATATTTATATTCTTATATTTATATTCTATTATTCTTATTCTATTTCTAATTTTTATATATTAATCTAATAGTCTAATAGAATATATTATTCTATTTATACATAAAAATAATACATAAAAATAATAAAAATATAGAAAGAAAATAGAAATTCTAGCTTAATTCTAGAAATTAACAAATTAGAAATACTAAATAGCTAAATATTATATATAAATCTAATATAAATATATAAATCTCAATTTATATATTCTAAATACTAGAATAAAATAAAAAAGAAATAGAGGAAAAAGATGGCAAAGGGATTTTGTATCAGACTACTTGTCTCCTTGTAGTTGGATCCCCAAGTTTTTGGAATGCTCCAAATTCCACTTGAGCATCCAAATCTGGATCAATACCGGCAAAAACATCTCTGAACAAGGTTCTGGCGCCGTGCCAAATGTGTCCGAAAAAGAAGAGCAAAGCAAACGTAGCATGCCCAAAAGTGAACCAACCCCTTGGACTGCTACGAAAAACACCATCGGATTTCAAAGTAGCCCGGTCTAATTCAAAGATTTCACCTAATTGGGCACGTCTAGCATATTTTTTCACAGTAGCAGGATCACTATAAATGACTCCATTGAGTTCGCCACCATAGAATTCAACAGTTACCCCTACTTGTTCAACACTATACTTGGATTCTGCTCTTCTAAAAGGAACATCGGCCCTCACAATTCCGTCTCCATCTACCAAAACTACCGGAAATGTTTCAAAAAAGGTAGGCATACGACGTACAAAGAGTTCGCGCCCTTCTTTATCTCTAAATATGGGGTGCCCTAACCACCCAACAGCTATTCCATCCCCATTATCCATTGAGCCTGCTCTGAATAATCCCCCTTTCGCCGGATTATTACCAATGTAATCGTAAAAAGCTAATTTTTCGGGAATTTTAGACCAAGCTTCCGATAAGCTCAGATTTTCGGCTAGTCCGGCCCCAACCCTTCGATATATTTCTTGCTGGAAGTATCCCTGATCCCACTGATAACGGGTGGGGCCAAATAATTCGATTGGGGTAGTTGCTGAACCATACCACATAGTTCCAGCAACAACGAAAGCTGCAAAAAAAACAGCAGCAATACTACTGGAAAGCACAGTTTCAATATTACCCATGCGTAATCCTTTGTATAGACGTTGAGGCGGACGGACACTAAGATGGAATAGACCCGCTAATATGCCCAATGTACCTGCTGCAATATGATGAGAAGCTATTCCCCCCGGAACAAAAGGATCAAAACCTTCCGCACCCCACGCTGGATTTACAGATTGTACTTTTCCAGTTAGTCCATAAGGATCAGACACCCATATTCCAGGACCATATAAGCCTGTTACATGAAATGCACCAAAGCCAAAGCAAGCGACTCCTGAGAGAAATAGATGAATTCCAAAGATCTTGGGCAAATCCAAAGAAGGTTTTCCCGTACGTTCATCACAGAATATTTCTAGGTCCCAATATACCCAATGCCAGATAGCTGCCAAGAAGCACAAGCCAGAAAACAAGATATGTGCCCCTGCCACACCTTCATAACTCCAAATGCCCGGATTCGTTATAGTTCCTCCCGAGATACTCCAACCCCCCCACGAATTGGTTATTCCTAAACGAGTCATGAAGGGTATAACGAACATGCCTTGTCTCCACATCGGATCAAGAACAGGGTCAGAGGGATCAAAAACCGCTAATTCATATAGAGCCATCGAGCCGGCCCAACCAGAAACTAGAGCTGTATGCATTATATGGACAGAAAGTAATCGACCGGGATCATTCAATACGACAGTATGAACACGATACCAAGGCAAACCCATGTAAATACCCCTTTCTGAAAAAGAAATAGACATTATGTAACTTTATCGCATTGGAAAAGACTAGACCGTGTATTTCACCTGTTCGGTAGATTTTGTATAGGAAAGGATTGATATTTCTTTTTATTCCCTTCTTTTCTTTTTAATGAAATAGAATAGAAAGAATTTGAAATAGAAAGAGAAGGGAAAAATTTTCTTTCTATTTCAAATTCTTTCTATTTCTAAGAACAAAGAGAAACAGATCTTATTCTATACCCGATAAGTACCAATACGCAATGGGAGGATTTTGAGGGAAAAATAATGCATAGATACTTTTTTATAATTCGAAATCATTCGAACAATCGGCTAATCCGATCGATCCCGTTCGTTAGAATTTTTCTTTATTCATTCTATCTTCCTCTATGAACCTTCCAGTCCTATCTATATAATAATATTAAGTATTAAGTTCTATTTTATTTTATAGAATATATAATAGAATATATATATAATAGAAGATAATCTAAGAATATAAGAATCTAAATAGAAAGAAGATTAAAAGATCTAAAAATAGAATATAGAAAGAGAATATATATATAATAGAAGATATAAAAAGAAAAAAGAAATATCTATAGAATATCAAAATAGAAAAGAAAGAGAAAAAATGATGAAGAAAATAAAACAAACCATTGTTACGTTTCCATATTAAAGTAAAGTATAGTACTTCATTTTTTTATTTATCTTAATGCCCATTGGTGTTCCAAAAGTACCTTTTCGGAGTCCTGGAGAGGAAGATGCAGCTTGGGTTGACGTATAGTGCGACTTGTCAGACATATGGGTCATATGGTATTTCTCCGTTATCTCCCCCGATCGAGTATTCTCTGTTTCGCCCAATCCAATAAAGATATATTCAATATTGTATTGATTGAATCATCAATAATTCGGAGCGTGAAGCACAATAATTCCTATTGGGGATCAATATTCTCAATTCAAATAATTGATGGTTTACTTGGACTGATAAAATAAAGTATCCAGGCTCCGTTCAGAGAATACCAAATTGGAAATGGTAAGAGTAAAAGTAAGTAAAAGTAATATAATGGGAGTGTAAATGTAGGTAAATGTAGTAATCTAAATAAGAAATATTAAATAAAGAATATAAAAATAAAATATAAATTTAATGAAATTCTTAATAAATTCTGAACTTCATTAGTAATGAAATAGAATATAATAGAACTTACTATAAATAGAACTATAATAGAATCTTATAATATAATCTATTATGTAGAATAGATGATGATTACACGATTACCGCTTTTATCATAGACTATTCTTATACTTACTATAGGGATTATATAAAACTGCCTACCAATGGAGTAGTATGATGAATACATCGAATATTTTGGGGAAAGGTATCAAACAGTGGTACTGGAATCATTTGACCTATATGCGCAAATGGAATTCGGGAAAATCTTCCCCCGGAGTAGAACAAGAACCTAAAAGAATTGAAAGGGCCCATTCAGGAACAAGAAAATTACATCGTTATTTGAATTTCGATGAAACAATACATCAATGAGAAGTTAGTTCAATAAGTTCATAAAATTCTTTTTTCTTTTTTACATGAGTTTTGCCCTCCTTCCCATTCTAGAATGTAAAAAAGGAAAAAGAAATAGGACTGGAATCGACACATTGATTCTTTTTTTCGCAATTCTTTCGAACCGTATGCATCCAAAGGTGCACGTACGGTTCCTCAGGGATACAATTTTGCCCTAATCAACCGACTTCATCGAGAAAGATTACTTTTTTTAGGCCAAGAGGTTGATAGTGAGATCTCGAATCAACTTGTTGGTCTCATGGTATATCTCAGCATAGAAGATGATACTAGGGATCTTTATTTGTTTATAAATTCTCCAGGCGGATGGGTAATACCAGGAATAGCCATTTATGATACTATGCAATTTGTGTCACCGGATGTACATACAATATGTATGGGATTAGCCGCTTCAATGGGATCTTTCATTCTGGTCGGAGGAGAAATTACCAAACGTCTAGCATTCCCTCACGCTTGGCGCCAATGAGTTTTTTTCTTTGAGAAAAAAAAAGAATACTATGCCTTCGCTGTATCGAATATGAATCAAATAAAGAATAAGTAATAATAGCATGGCACTTCGAGTTCGATATGAACAAACCATTATTGTTTTTTTTCTAACATGAGATTTTGTATCGAGATAGTAGTATGAAAGAAGAGTTATTCCCAAATTGATTTATATGTGTCAAGCAAGAGTCAATTTCAGCGTCACAAACCATTATTCTTCCACACCAGAAGTATCTTTCTTCTTTTTATGTTATGAGAGAAAGAGTCAAAAAAATGGAAAAAATCATTTTCTCCTTCTTGGATCGTATCAAAAAGAAACTTTGGGATTGCTAAACAAACCACAGACGAGATAAATATATAAAGCAACAGAACCATCATAGTATCTTTTTTCCTACTACGAAAGGAAGGGTGGTAAATGGATCATTTAACGATTTGGATCGGATGGGTTCTATTTCTTCTTTTTGATAGAATCAATTCTATCGAAAAGAAGAAATTCCATTGCAGAGCCGTATGCAATGTACAAAAGATGCCCGTACGGTTGTTTAATTCTATTTTTTATTGTTATTTTGATTCCCCCTTACTTTAACCCAATCGTGCGATATATAGATAGAAGAACCGTTCATGATGTTATATCAATATCATCAGGGTTATGATTCACCAACCTGCTAGTTCTTTTTACGAGGCACAAGCAGGGGAATTTATCCTGGAAGCAGAAGAACTATTGAAACTTCGCGAAACTCTCACAAAAGTTTATGTACAAAGAACGGGCAACCCTTTATGGGTTATATCCGAAGATATGGAAAGGGATGTTTTTATGTCAGCAACAGAAGCCCAAGCTCATGGCATTGTTGATCTTGTAGCGGTCGAAAATTAAAATACTGGGGATTCCGTAGAAATATACGAATTCCGTTTCAAAATTTGAAATTTCCGTGTGAATAGAAATCATTCATAATCATCAACCATCAGGTTAAGATCGATCTAAGCCAACCCGCTCTATTCTATCTAGAATGAGATTCTATAGACATGCCATGCCAACCATTAAACAACTTATTAGAAACGCAAGACAGCCAATAAGAAATGTCACGAAATCTCCCGCTCTTCGAGGATGTCCTCAGCGTCGAGGAACATGTACTAGGGTGTATGTGCGACTCGTTCAGTTCAGATCATAAGTTTGAAGAAATGCAAAAATCTTTTCCAGTATCAACGACCACTACCGATGAATTAGGATAGATAGAGTGGAAGACGGCTATCTAATTGACTATTATATAAATATATAAAAATGAAGATCTATCATCTACCTAATTATGTTATGAATTTATGGTTTCTATTGGTGCAAATCCAATCACTCCATTTGAGATGAGAAGGAATTCTCCATTGGTAACAAATAGTTATCCATTAAGCGGAGGAAAAAGGTTATGCTCCTATTCCTATTCTTGAAAAAACGGACTAACAGGGTCAGCTACATAGCCAACTTTCAGAATTAAATGCCGTCACTGTATGGATAGCTTTTTTGTGAAAAGGACTATTACTTTCTAATTAGAATTGAAAAATGGATGGGTAGAGCCAAAGAGTGTGAACTATACAAGTTCACAATAAAATTTGATGAAATGAAAGAAGAGGCTCCGGTGTATAGAGAGGACCTCACCGTTTCAGAAGTTGCCATAGAAACGAGGGAACCCACTATTCTTTTTTATTTAGTAGCAGCCGAATTTATTATTTCCAGGCGAGATACTTTGAAGAAAGAAAAAATGAAGAAAGAAAAAATCGTGGTCGGGAAGGTCATAGTCGCAAAAGCCATTGGAATTTATATTTTATATATCGGAAGAATCCGTTTTGTTATTAATCGACCGGAGGAAAAGGATGACTGAAAGAAGAGAAATCAATTAGTTATTCAAGAAAGTTTCATTTGATTCAATGACCAGAGTTAAACGAGGATATACAGCTCGAAGACGTCGAAAAAAGATTCGTTTATTTGCATCAACCTTTATAGGGGCTCATTCAAGACTTACTCGAACGACTACTCAACAAAGAATGAGAGCTTTGGTTTCCTCTCATCGAGATAGGAGCAGGAAAAAGAGAGATTTTCGTCGTTTGTGGATCACTCGGATAAATGCGGTAACTCGTGAGGATAGAATATTCTATAGTTATAGCCTATTCATCCACAATCTGTACAAGAGACAATTGCTTCTGAATCGTAAAATACTTGCGCAAATAGCCCTATCAAATAAGAATTGTTTTGATATCATTTCAAATAAAATCAAATACAAATCAAATAAAATAAAGGAATAAAAGAATCTTAATAGAATCTATTATACAGGAAACAAGAATGATTGAAACAGGATTTCCCGGAGAATGGACTCCGGGAAGATAGAAGAAAAAGAAATTAAGATTTGAGTAGTAGGAGTAAACGAACATCTTTCAAGAAAAAAAGATTTCTTTCCCATTTTTCCTTTTTTAGAATACAAGAATCAAATCTGGATTCTATTTTTTTTTCGAGCAAAACATTCATATGAGCTTGATTTCCTATTGGAGTTTTGAGGAGTATCTCTATTTATTTTTGGTTCTAGGACCAGTAGTTCTAGGGATCGACTCCACTCTCTCCAATTGTTTCTCATTATTACGAAAAGGTAACGAAGATAAAATACGAGCTTGTTTTATAGCAATAGTAATTAATCGTTGTTGTTTCAAGGTCAACCTATTCGTCCGTCTAGATAATATTTTTCCTTGTTCACTAAGAAATCGACTAATTAAACTCATGTTTCTATAATCGATTCGATCCCCCGATCCAATTGGGGGTAAACGCCTACGAAAAGATCGCTTGGATTTACGAAAAGGTTGTTTGGATTTATCCATGGTTTGCTTATTCCTTGTTTGTTTATTCCTTATATATAAAAGGATCTAGAAAATAGAATTATCTTTTTTTTTCTTATTCATTTAAGATTCGACCAAAATAGGATTTGGTTTTTATATATGTTAATGTTAAGATGTAAAGTTCTTACTCTTCCCGCTACTTGGAAAAATCACACACGCATTCCGTTCCATCTATTTCTTTATTTCCCCATGAATCGTATACTTTTGACAATAGCGACAAAATTTTCGAAATTCTAATCGATTGGGTGTATTGTGTCGATTCTTTTGAGTAATATATCTAGAAATGCCCGGCGATTCTTTATTGACACCCTTTCGAACACAACAGGTACATTCCAAAATTACTATAATTCTGATATCTTTACCCTTGGCCATGAACCTCCTTTTCATTTTGGATCGACTTCACTTTAGAACTCTCTTCATTTTCTTTTTTACCCAAACCAAAGAAAAAGAAAATAAAAAAAGAATCTATATTCTATATCTATATTAATAAATGTTACTAACTAGAAATAGAATTCGTAAATCTTTTCTTTTTCGAATTCTTAGAATTCGAATGACTTCGAAGTACTATAAATAGAAAAGATAATCACTATTAATTACTATAACTATAAAGAAAGAGAGTCATATTCATTAATAGAAGAATATTAAGAATATCATAATAATTAATTAATACAATTTTTTCTAACTATGAATTATTCCTATCCTAATCTCAGTCTTTTCTTCTTTCTATATTAGAATTTTGTGTAACCGCCCCTAAACGACTGGATCCACATTTCCATTTCTTTTCCCCCAAATTCTATCGTAGATTCACTGTATTTTGACTGAAGTTCGATACACTCTTTCTCTTTCTTTTCTTTTTTAGGATAGGAAATAAAAAGGGAGCAAAATTGGAGACATGTTACGTAGAATTGTATCTCAAATATTCTTCATTTCTTCACAGATCAATACAAGAATTCAATCAGGATTAAAAAAAAGGGAATGACAGGGCATCCGGAAATAAACGATTAATTTCTATCAATAGACCTGCTAAAGACCCAAACCATAGAGTGGTTAGCACAGGTGCCGTTGAGAGATATGTTTTGATATCTCGCATTGAAAATCCTCCTTCTTCTTTTATTTTTTTTTCTTATTTATTTTAATTATTTATTTGTATTGTATATTGTAATACATATATAGTTCTAGTTCGATATTCTAATACATAGATCATAGATAACCCGATCTTTTAGTTCAAGATCATTTGTTTTTGCTTGAAATGAAATTAGAATTAGGAATTACTAACTAAAATGCATATGTACAACGACCCAGCAGATTCAATTTTGCCGCCCCCTAAAAAAGATGACAAGAACATTCTCTACCTATAAGAGCAAAAAAGAAGGATGTGTGGAAAACAAGACATGGATTTTATACAATGACACTGTACAACAATTTTTAAAAGGGATGTAGCGCAGTTTGGTAGCGCGTTTGTTTTGGGTACAAAATGTCACGGGTTCAAATCCTGTCATCCCTACCTATTCTTTCTCCTATGGACAGTTACGAGGGATTCATTGAGTAAGATCGGGAATTTTTGGACATAATCTTTCATTTGTACATACTATATGTACACAAGAATCCTCCGGGGTAAAAAAATACTTTTCTTTACAATCGTATCTACTGTTATAGGATATGATATAAGAAAGCGCTCTTAGTTCAGTTCGGTAGAACGCGGGTCTCCAAAACCCGATGTCGTAGGTTCAAATCCTACAGAGCGTGATTCCGTTTATTTTATGTCGAATTACAATGAAATAATTTAACAAAACAAAGTAGAATTGCAACTGAAATTTGACCTCCTACAAGGAGGAGGTCAATCAAAAAAAGAGATGTTACTCAATCAAAGGTCCAACTGATCACCGCGCCTGTATTGTAAATATGCAGTTACAAATAATCCTGTTAAAGTAATAGGAATTAGACCTAAGACGATTCCAAATAGAAAAACTTCAATCATTTCGATTTGTTTTAGGGAATAAAAAGAGAGGTAAGATCTATCCCTAAATATTAATCTGAATTATCCGTGAATCTCAATGAACAGGAATTGGCAATTGACGCGGGAAGGAACCATAGAATACCTGAAATGAAATATTATGAGAGGCTTTGATTTTTCTTTTTGTAAATTGTTTATTGAATTTCATTCATTTCAAATAAGTCGTATCTTGTTCAAACCAATAAATAGAGCTGGGGTTATAGTTGAAGCAGCCAGTAAAAAACCAAAATAACTAGTTAGAATAGGCATGAAAGAGCTAAATTAGATATGTTCTTTTACTACATATATGAATAAAACATTTACCTAAGTCTCAATCCAGATACGACGGTAAGAAAAACAAATTGAAAGAATTCGTTTAGTTCCAATTGAAAGTTCTTGATTTATCAGTCATTATAGACGGACACTAAAAAAAAAAGAAAGCCTTGACTTTTTCAAAAAATATCAAAATATTGAATATTTTCATTTTCTTTTATTTCTTTATTTGAATTTGATTTCGGACCAACTCGATTCAAAGAAGAGCAACTTCTATTACCCTTTTATATTTTATACCCTTTTAGGTTCTATATTCTTTCCATATTAAAGAATCCCATCTTTGTTTTGTATTGTAGTTCCATAAGGAAAGAACTCTTGGGGGGATCTAATGTAACAACAGTTGCATCACGAATATGGATTGCTCCAACGATCTCTTTTTTTTTCTTTTCGCAAATATAAAAAAGAATAATAAAAGATATGAAATCTAATTCTAAATATATTAATTGCAATTAACCTATGAAAAATGAAATATATAGGGATAGTAATAAGAATTTCCATTTAGAATAATTACTTTACTATTTAGAATAGTAATAATAGTTTAAGTTTCTAATTTCAAAGTGAAATAGTTTATTAGCATATTTATTCTATGAACGAACAATTACCAATTACTTGAATAAAATGAGAGGATTCAAAAAAAAAGAAAATATGAACCGAACCCCCAAAGGGTTTTATAGATTTCACATAACATATAATGGAATTGTATAAATATAATGAGATCTTTCAATCATGATATCTCTCATTAAGTATTAGAGCCCATACATTCAAGATCTTTACTTTCTATTACTATGATGAAGCCACTAATAGAAACCTTACTTAATCTTATATTCTAATATTCTAAGGAAAATACATTTATACATAGACAAGGCAGATATAGCAATAGAATTTCCTTTCGGTAATGATCGAGGCTGCGTTGCTGCGCTAGAGGAAGGATAGCTATACTGATTCGGTCTACTCTAAATACACCTTTGGTACAAAATTGACGATCTCACAAAGATCCAGTATCAGTAGTTTTAGATTTACTGATTCCATCTTTCACGGAATCGGCCCGCCTTTTTTTTTGAACATACAAGAATTTGTGGAGCTCAGCATGTCTGGAAGCACGGGAGAACGTTCTTTTGCTGATATTATTACTAGTATTCGATACTGGGTCATTCATAGCATTACTATACCTTCCCTATTCATTGCGGGTTGGTTATTCGTCAGTACGGGTTTAGCTTACGATGTTTTTGGAAGTCCTCGGCCAAATGAATATTTCACAGAGAGCCGACAAGGGATTCCATTAATAACTGGCCGTTTTGATTCTTTGGAACAACTCGATGAATTTAGTAAATCCTTTTAGGAGGTTCCCAATGACCATAGATCGAACCTATCCAATTTTTACAGTGCGATGGTTGGCTGTTCACGGACTGGCTGTACCTACTGTTTCTTTTTTAGGATCAATATCAGCAATGCAGTTCATCCAACGATAAACCTAATTCGAATTATAGAGCTATGACACAATCAAACCCGAATGAACAAAATGTTGAATTAAATCGTACCAGTCTATACTGGGGTTTATTACTCATTTTTGTACTTGCTGTTTTATTTTCCAATTATTTCTTCAATTAAGAAAAAGAAATAGTAATAGTAGGAATTCTATTATCCCATTCGGAAGGATACTATCCTCATAATTATCCATGACTGTTTTTGTCTCTAGCATGACCACTTGATGAAAAAGAAGGGGGGGAAATGGCCGATACTACTGGAAGGATTCCTCTTTGGCTGATAGGTACTGTAACTGGTATTCCTGTGATCGGTTTAATAGGCATTTTCTTTTACGGCTCCTATTCCGGGTTGGGTTCATCTCTGTAATACTTTAATAATCATATGAACCAGATTAGATTGTAGACATGAAAGAGTAAGAACTCAGCGGGGTAAGGCCCCGCTGAGTTCTTACTCTTAGAGCGAGACTTTTATCTATTCAAAAACATATGGAACCTCAGTCAACATAATCCAAATATTCTATTTTTAGAAATGACAAAATGGATCCTTTGCTCTGATGTTTCAAACCACTCTATTTTCTTCCTTTTTTATTAGGATTCTTTTGAATAATTTAATCTATTGACTGATTCATAGTTTCTGTCATTCCTACATAATATTCACTATTATGTTATGTCAATATGTTGAATATGAAGCAACAAGAAAGGAGGAATCCATCGATTTTATGAATAATCCAATACGTATGGATTTATCCGTATGAAACCTCCTGCAAATCCTTTTCTTTTTATACTCAACTATTTCTACTAAACTAAAAAAAAAAAGAAAACTGTAATGAGATAATAAAGAAAGATTTGGATATACGTAAAGATATAATCCGCTTTTCAGCCGAAACAAAACAAGAGAAGTCTTTTTTTGTTTGAATTCTTTTCCTAAGTAATAAGTAAGAAGTTGAAGTGAATTGAAGAAGTTCTATTTGTTCAATTATACCCGTAAAATAAAACAAGGAATAAGAATCTTTGGCAAAAAGGAGAAAAAATCATGATTCTTTCGATACAAGACGACACAAGAAAATCCTTTTCTTGTGTCGTCTTGTATCTAATCGAATAGACGATTAGGAAGACTAAGAATACTTTCTAGAAATCTTTTTTCCTTTCATTTTTCCCGTCCTTGCCTTGTATTCTATTCCTTTGTATTTGTATGCTTATTTTCTATAATTAGGAATGGTATACAAGTAATGAGTTTCAGACATCCCGCAAAATAAAAAAGAGTATAAAAAAAAACAAACAAAGAAAAGACTTATAGAAATAGAATTTTTTGAATCATATATCATTCTATTGATCAACAAGAATTTGGCACTTTTACCAACTTTATTTTAAGGAATCTCTAGATCTAGAAATTCATTTCGTACAACTGAACCTTTTCAAACTGTTTCTTTTTCAGAACCAAAAAGATTTGTGCCAAAATCACAGATGCCAAGAATAACAGAAGGCCTTGGACTCGTAATGGATCTTGAAGCACTATTTCTGCGTCTCCCTGACCAAAACCTCCTACATTTGGATTACTTGTTAATGGTTGATCAAGCTTGATGGATTCACCTTCTGAAACAAGAAGTTCTGGTCCTGGAGGTATAATATCAACCACTTGACGTCCTTCTGAAGCATCAACTATGGTTATTTCATATCCCCCCTTTTCTTTACGTGCTATTCTGCTTACTATACCAGCAGATGTAGCATTATAAACTGTATTGTTACTCTTGCTACCATCAGGATAAATCTGACCCCTTCCCCTGTTCCCACCTACATATATGGGATATTTTAAGAAGTGAACGTCTTTTTTCGTAGCAGGGTCGGGGGAAAGAATAGGAAATACGATTTCACTATATTTCTGACCGGGAACAGGACCTATCACAAGAATATTTCTTTTATTAGGACGATAAAACTGAAAAGAAAGATTGCCCATCTTTTCTTTCATTTCGGGAGAAATACGATCGGGGGGGGCTAATTCGAATCCCTCAGGTAAAATAAGAACAGCTCCTACATTCAAAGCTCCCTTTTTACCATTAGCAAGAACTTGTTTAAGTTGCATATCATAAGGAATTCGAACAACTGCTTCAAATACAGTATCAGGAAGCACAGCTTGCGGAACTTCAATATCCACGGGCTTATTAGCTAAATGGCAATTGGCACATACAATTCGCCCAGTTGCTTCTCGTGGATTTTCATAACCCTGCTGCGCAAAAATGGGATATGCATTTGAAATAGATGCTCGAGTTATTGCATATATCATGATCGATACATAAATGGATCGAGTCATCTGTTCTTTTACCCAAGAAAAAGTCTTTCTATTTTGCATGGTCCAATCATTGATCCCCGGAATTTCTACAATAAATTGGATAGGTAACTAGTAGAATTCCCTATCCACAAGTTTGCCATTGTATTGATTGTACTGAAAGAATTGTACTGGTGGAATATAGTATGAATACCTTGAATTGAAAAGGTAGAAGTATAAAGAATAAGTAAGATGAAAAATGATTTATTTATACATGAAGAAAGATTCTGATTTGATTGATATCAAAAGATCTAATGAATTATTCATTCATTGAATGATAAATTACTACAAGCGAAGGAGATACACGATTTAAAAAATGGAAGATCCAATATTTCACAATTGTATCTAGAATCACTGGAAAAGTGGAAACAAGACCAGATATAATCTGATCATTCTGAGCCAATCCAAAATCGTTGTAGATCGAACCAATCATTAGTTCCCAACCATGGGTCGAGTGAAATCCGATCCATAAATCAGTAACTAAAAGAATCGAAAAAGCTTTGATTGTATCACTTAAGTTATAGAGAAATTCCTGAATCCAAGAATTTAGAATGAAAAGTTCTTCATTACCCAGAAAAAAATAACCACTTAGAATAGCGAAACAGATTAGATTTGTAGAGAAATGCAAAATGATATGGAAATGAGATTCATTGTGTCTTTGGACCAATTGTATTGTTTCCTTGTGCATTCCTATACGAAGCCTTTGCATATGTGTCTCCGAGTACTCCTTTATCATCTCGTCCAACAGGAATAGTTCTTCTAATTCCATAAATTTTTCTAGAACATTTTTCTCTTGAATATCATTCAAAAGGATTTCGGATTGCCTGGTATTCCACCAATTAAGAACCCAAGTTTCTAGACATTTCTTAAATGAGAGAGAAACCCACCAGGGCAAAAAGAGTATAGACACAAGATATGGGAGGGAAGCCAATGCTTTCTTTTTTTTCATTCTGTTTCCGTGATGTGAATTGTTAATGAACCTGTTTCATTCGTCGATTCTATCTGAGATTTCTATGAAGCACGAATTATAGAAAAAGAGCCTATAACTCTAACAAGAACAAGGTATCGAACCTATGGTTCTTTTCCTATTTTTGTTTTTGTGTAAGAATTGAGTCTTTGGATCTAGAATAGAACATAGAAGAAGGCCCCTTTTCGAATGAAAAAAAAAAAGAAGTAAATATTCTTTCCATATTCCAGAGATCTCAATTAGGCAAATTGTAACCAATTTCCTCTTCATTTCTTCCTTTCGATGAAGACTCGAAAACCCATTTGAACTAACGAATATAATTTGGCTTTAAAGACGAAACCTACCGGATCCTTTAATTCTTTTCTTTCTATTTCGAAAGATTTCACTGTCTAACCGCAGCGCGGGGATAGGGTATCAATTCAAAGGCCTAAAAAGAGGAATTCTGTTTTACGAAAAGAAAAGAAATGTTAGGATATTTTATGAATCTATACTTATTAGACTCTTTTCTTTTTACTAGTATAAAGAATGAAGCTGGACGCCATGTGTATACAAAATAGTTTTTGTTTATAAATAGTTTCTATTCTCCTTAATCTATTTTCTTTCATTAGTTCTATTATATTTTATATTTTCTTAGTCCATATACGTCCTCCTGCTTTTGAGATGTATTTAGTTCCTTCTCTCATGCTGAGATTTCTTCTTCAGTTCATTTCAAAATACTTCAATGGGTACGCGCAAGAAATAGGCCAATTCGGCAGCTTTTTGTTCAATTTCTCGTGGAGTCAAATTCTCATCAGTACGGGTCAAGGGAATGGCTCCTTGGCCCCTGATTTCCATATAAAGGACACGGCGAGGAAAAAGACCCTCTCTCACCTCCATTCTGATTGATTGGATATCTTTCAGAAAGAAACGAAGGAAGATACGACGATTTCTTCCAGGAAATCCCCAACGAAAAAGGGACATTATCCCTTCTTTTCTATCAAATCGGTCATAACCACTACCTACATTCCATGAAATTGTGCACCACAAATAAGAACTAATGAATAGACCTGCAATCCCATAGAAAGACATCACGATCCCTTGTGGGAAAAAAAGAATTTGCTGAGACGGAAATACGGATATCAGATTTTTACCAAGATAACTGGAAGTTCCAACCACTAAGAATCCTAATGAACCTAAAAAAAGGATACAGGCCCAGCAAAAATTACTTGTTTTTCGAGACCCCGTTATAAGTTCTATCCATATATGTTCTGATCGCCAGTTCATACTATACTAGATCCAGTTGCATTCGATTGGAATTGAGAGAATAACTCAAATGGATTTGACTCGATTTTTATTGCTTGATCCCGAAGTAACTTTAATCAACTAGCAGCATTCCGACGGGAACCTTTAGGAATAATTGGTTAGATACATTGAGTTTCTATTTCAAATATTTTTCAAAAAAGATTTTCTGATGATCATTTTGAATTGAATCATTTAATTGATTAAGCTATAATCGCATATACACGCATTAATGCGTATATTATGCATCGGCATACATAAAAAAACAACTATTTGTGAAAGGCCACATATCATATATCCTACCATATTACATTAAAAGAGTATCTGTATGATGATCCAGTGTTGAAAGAGATTGATGAGATTTGGTCCCATCGTATTTAAACAATCTTATTTCTTTGGACATAAAGAGATAAAGAAGCCATTGCGATTGCCGGAAAGACTAGGCCCACTAAAGGAACAAAAATAGAGGGAAAGTTCAAATCTATCATAGAATGGGTACCTCGATTTCATATTTGTACCTATTATAATTCTAAATTATAATTATAAAGATATCTTATGATAAGTCTATCTATTAGAAAGAATATTAAGATAATCTTAATATGAAGTATTTCAGAATAAATAACGAATGTAGAACTAAATGAAGTGTACCTATTCCTCTTTCTACACGAATATGTATGAGAATCCGCTTTCAGAAATTGGATTCTTCTTCTCCCATCCTTATCTTCATCGTCTTTCTATCTTTCCTTTCAAAACAAAAAAGGTGTTTTGAAAGGAAAGATAGAAAAGAGTTTCTTATGAGTTCCCGACTTTAACCAATCTTATTCAACAAAAAGGGATTCCTAGTGAAAAACGGGGGTTCTCGCTAAATAGAAAGAACTTCTATATTCTTCTTATTTGTTATTTGAATATTTCTATTTTCTTTGAGATTTCTTCTTTCTTTTTATTTCATATTTTATTTTTCTTTCCCGGATTTCTCGGAAGGAGAAATAAATTCTTTTTTATCTTGTCGATAGAGGGATGCTTATTCCTAATCAGGAAGAGAGGTAGAATAAAAAAAGGATCCGGGGCAAAAAGTCATTATCCAAAACTTTTGACTCTTACTACACTTATAACTGATGTACCCAAAGAAAACACCATCTTCTTAGTTTTGTTTTTTTCATTAGAATGAACTAAATGCTTATTCGCTACAAAGAAAAATAACTGAAGCTAGTGCTATACTTCCATTTGAAAATGAAGAATTTCAATCTTTTTTAAAATCTTTTTTTAATCTTGATTCAAGGGAAGGAAACCATGTAGCTGAAATAACTCATTCAGAACACCTTTTAAAGGATTACGTGGTACAATTGGGTCAAATAAGCCCTTAAGGAATAAATACTCAGCCGCTTGTGAACCGTCGGGTACTGTCTTTTTCAATGTTTGTTCAATTACTCTTTTACCCGCAAAAGCAATGTAGGCATTAGGTTCAGCAATAATGATATCTCCCAACATACCAAAACTTGCTGTAACTCCGCCAGTTGTAGGAGATGTAAGGATTGATACATAGAATAACTTTTTCTTTGATTGATAA